CCACCCTGTCCCGATGCTAGTTCCCAAAGACAACCACCGCTGGCAATCCCTTCTGCTGGGTCCTCCTCCCACATGCCCCAGTCAGCCCTGAGCCTCCCCCCAAACCTGCTCCCTTCTGCACCCTCCTTGTCTCCATCAACAGCAACTCCACCCTCTCCAGTTACTCTGGATGAAGACCTTGGAGTTGTCCCTGACCCCTCTGTCTCTCACTTCCCACATACCATCCATCCATCAGTAAATCTCATCAGGTCTGGTGATGGATTGAACTATGTGCATCCCAAAATATATGCTGGATTCCTAACCCTACACCTGTGGCTATAATCCCATTTGGAAATAGGGTTTCCTTTGTAATGCTACTTAGGGCACGTGCAGGGTGTGTCTAAAACCTAATCGCCTGAGTGATAAGGAGCCACAGAAACACAGAGGCCAACAAGCACACACTGAGGGGCACAGAGCACACGTGAGGATCGCCAAGGAGCCAAGGGACACTGGGGCCACAGAAGCTGAGACAGGACCTTCCCTCAGTGCCACAGAGAGCCTTCCTCTAGAGCCAGTGCCCTGAGTTCAGACTCCCAGCCTTCTGAACTGTGAGAAAATACATTTCTGTCCTTTAAAGCCACCCCCTTGTGGTATACGTGTTATAGCAGCATTGGGAGACTGAGACACACTACCTGGGAGATATACCCAGAATCCAACCACCTCTCCACCTGCTACACCACAGCCTGTTCTCAGCTACCAGCCTCCCCTGCCTGGAGACTGAAGGGCCTCCTCACTGGCCTCCCTGATGCCAGCTTCCTCTCAGTCCCTCCACAGTCCTCCTCATGCAGTCAGAGGGATCCCCTGAGGACCTCAGCCAGGCATCGGCCATCCTCTGTTAGGAGCTTGCAGTGGTCGAGTCCTGTCAATGGCCTAAAGGCTCCATGTGACTGTCTGCCTGCTAGCTCTCCCAATGGTCCCCGGGTAGTGCAAATAGTCTGTGTTCCACGACTAACCTAAAGGTTGGTGGTTCAAACCCACCCAGGGGTACAGTAGGACCTGCAATCTGCTTCCATAAAACATCACAGCTGAGAAAACCTTATGGAGCACAGTTCTAGTCTACAGCACACAAGGCCACAGTGGGTCGGAACCAAACTGACACCAACAACCAGTTGTTTGGTTTGGGCTCCCCCATCATGCTCTCCCCTCAGCTCCTTGTCCCCACCCCCATCCCGACCTCCCGTCACTCCTGCCACACTGGTCTCCGTTAGCTCCCTCCAGCCTCAGAGCCTTTGAGTTGCTGTCCCTGAATGGAAGGTTCTGTCCCAAATGTTCCCTAGCTCACTCCCAGCTCCTCTGGGTCTCGGCCTAACTGTGCCTTCTCATTAAAGCCCAGCCTGACCAACCTGCGTCACCTGCGCCAACCCTCACCCACTGAAAGGGGCAAACCCCCCTCCTGCTCTCACATACTCTAGCCCCACCCCCACTGTCACCCCCAGCACCAGCTAACACACAAAAACAAGTAACACGTTTAACTCATTTTCTTGTTCATTCAGTGTCTCTCCCACCCCTCAGCCCCCGCCAGCACTTAAGACACAAGAAAACAGGAATTTGTCTGCTGTGTCCCCAGAACGTAAAACAGTAGCATCAGGCGTCCTGATGCTCCAGGAGAGTAAAGCCCACCCCTCCCCAACCCACCCTGGGAAGCCCCATGGTATCCAACCCAAATAGAGCAACTTCCTATGCCCAAGGAGCAATAGTGATTTCCCCCACAGACTGTGATTTCTTCTCTCGTCTTTTTATCCATCCACCCAAAATCCAAGCCAAAATCCAGGGCTTATCCTTGACTCCCACCCTGTCCCCTCAGTCACTCAATCAGTCCACTCTGTCTCCAAGTAAAGGCAGAACTCAGAGACGTGGCGGGTTCGGTTCCAGACCACCGCAATTAAGTGAATACTGCAGTAATGCAAGGCGCATGGGTTTTGTGGTTTCACAGAGTTATGTTTGCAGTATACTGCAGTCTCTTAAAGGAGCTGTGATGGTGCTACAGTTAAAGCCCAAGGCTGCTAACCAAAAGGTCAGCGGTTTGAACCCACCAGCCACTCCAAGGAAGAAAGATGAGGTTAATCTTTCCTAAAGTTTTATAGCCCTGGAAACCCTATGTGGCAGTTCTATTGTGTCCTAAAGGGTTGCCATGATGCAGAATCAACTCAATGTCAGTGGGTGGGTGTAGTGTATTAAGCGTACAATAACCTTATGAAAAAGCTGGAAATATCATAAGAATTACCACAATGTGACATAGAGACAGGGAGTGAGAACATGTTACTAGAAAAATGGTGTTGCCAGAAAGCTTCAATTTGTAAAAAAAAATAAAAATAAAAATAAAAAACCAAACCATAGTATCCACAAAGCACAATAAAAGGAGGCATGCCTATATGTCTCCATCCATGACTTCTCACCACGTCCTGTCCCACTCTACCCCATGATTCGCCATCTGCATCCACAGTCTGCTTTGAAACCAACCAATCAGTTCCTTGGACACGATGAAGCTGAGTGGTAAGACGAACCACAGAAAGACCCACCCCTGGCGGCGAGAAACAGGCATTTCTGAGATCCCTGACACCGGGGATGGCTGGGCTCGGACCAAAACACCTAAACCCCAAAACAAAACACCAAGTGCCCCCTCAGCTGGTGTCAGCCTACTCAGGAGGCCCCTGGCTGCCTACTCCCTGGTCTTAAGGCAAAAGTGCTCCAAGTCCCACGGCAATTTCATTAGCCTTCTGTAAACAAACCAAAACCAAACCCACTGCCTTCGAGTCGATTCCGACTCACAGTGACCCTATAGGATAAAGCAGACCTGCTGCATAGTGTCTTCCAGGCTGTCATCTTTACAGAGTGCCACATCTTTCTCGTGGGTTCAAACTGCCCAACTTTCCATTCGCAGTCAAGCGCTTAACCACCGCACCACTATGGCTCCTTCTAGCATTCCATCCTGCTTGGAATTCTGAACCACCCTGAATCCTTTGTGGAAGGAGAGAAAGATTTATAATAATCGTTGCATCTACTGACCAATTACATCATTCTAAGCACTTGACAAGGAGCTCTGGTAGCATAGTGCCTAAGGCACTTGACTGCTAACCAAAAGCCTGGCGGTTCAAACCCACCAGCCACTCCTCAAAAGGAAGATGGGGCAATCTACTTCCATAGTGATACTGCCTTGGAAACCCAAGGAGGGTTCGCTATGAGTCGGTTCGACTCAACGGCACATAACAACAACAACAACAAACACTTGACATGATTAACTCATTGTATCTTCAAACCAATCCAAGGAAGAAGGGAGTATTTTTAGCTTCATTATTCAGGGGAGGGACCTGAGGCACAGAGAGGTTAAGTACCTTACCAAAGGGCACTCAGCCAGGAAGTAAAGAAGCTGGGATTTGAACCCAGGTCTGTTGTTGTTGTTAGCCGCTGTTGAGTCGGCCCTGACTCATGGAGACCCAGTGGTCAATGGAATGAAATGTTGCCCGGCCCTGCGCCCTACCCGTGACTGGTTGTGGAACAGCCCACTGTGCCCCACAGGGCTCTCACTGGCTGATTTTCAGGAGATCACATGGCCTTTCTTGCTAGTCTGTCTCAGTCTGGATGCTCCACTGAAACCTGTTCAGCATCACAGCAATACGCGAGCCTCCACTGGGGGATGGGTGGTAGCTGCATGAGGTGCACTGCTCAGGAATCGAACCTGGGTCTTCCACATGGAAGGCAGGGATTCTACCACTGAACCACCATGAATGTAGAAATAAAACACATGCTCTGGGCTGGTTTCACGTGACCCACGGGGTGAGGAGGGCGGTGTAGAGCAGTGGTTAGAACCCTGGGCTTCCCAGCCACTGTAAATCTGAACTCAAATCCACAGTTCTTTCGAGACCTCCCATGCCTTAGGAAACATATTAAAATAGCAAACATTAAAATGTGTATACCTCTCACATTAAGCCTACTTTTTTGGCTTAAAAAAAGAATTTTTCAAGGTTTTTTTTCTAAACTGGCCCTTGAAGTTATTTGGTGCCAAGAAGCGTTTACTGCACAGACTGGCTGTGACTTCTCAGCCATCACCAGCAATCGGTGCAACGTGAGGAAATCCAGCCACAGACTGTTCTCCAATGGAATGAAGTCTTTCCGGACGCTGAATTTAACAATTAACAAACCTGATGGAATGCTGTGCTCTGTAGATGTTTAATTAAACACTGATCCATTTGGATTTTGCGGTTTTTCTCCACGTCTTTCAGAGCCAATATGTTCTTATCACAGACTGCAAATGAACATTCTTCTGGGTTCCCTGAGAAGTTCACAGAACCAAAGCACCAGGGGATAAGACAAGCCCGTTCAAGTCCCAGCTTTGCCAGTGAGCAGCTGTGTGCCCTAGGGCCAGGCTCTCGGCCTCTCTGAGCCCTAGTTCCCTATCTCTAAAACAAAGGTTGGAGAACTCGATGAGATAACACACAACCCTTTGCCAGTGCTGATTAGTACCCTGTGAACCAGAGCTATGAAGGGGAGACAGATAGGCGGGAGCAGCTGGGACACCCAAAACAAGCAGTGGAGATGGGACACAAGCCTCTGAGAAGGTACAGAAAAACTGCCCCAAGGAGTGCTTTGCCAAGCCCCCAGTCAGCCTGTGCCCCTCCAAGAACATCTTCATTAAGAGTGACGGAAAAATTCAGGAATGGTGATGGTTGAACAATAGAATGAAGATATTTAATGTCATCGAAGAGTGTCTGCAAAGATTACTGGAAGGGCAAATGCTTTGTTACCTATGTATTTACTACAATTTTAAAAAGATACATAAATAAAAGGAATAATGTGGCAAGCGCTACATGGAGGCTCCAGCCTGGCACCAAGGGAGTGACCACCTTGTCCTGGTTTGCCCAGGACTGTCCAGTTCTAAAACTAGAAGCCCTGCATTCAAGAAAGGCCTCAGTCAGGGGCAAAGTGAGACGGCTGGTCACCCCAGTTCAGAGTAAAGTTCTCACCTGTGCCAGCAGCCAGTCGACCAGCTTGCTCCCAGGAAGCACGGACTTGTAGGTCTTCAGGTGGTAATCTCGGTCCCTGCAGGGAGAGGCAGTACACTGTGAGAGGGAGGATGTGGTGGGAACGGTGCCCATGTTCCTGCCAGACACACTCACAATTCGAGGCCTCCCAGGCTCTGTGGACATGGCAGAGCCCAGAAGAAAGCGCTGCGCAGGAAGACAGTGGCCTGAGTCTATGAGATTCTGCATGTCACTGCAGGGTGACCTAAGGCAGGTCCCTTACCAATCCAGGACTCCATTCCCACCTATAGGGTGATGGAGCAGAGCACGTCTCTAAAGCTCCAGTCCAGAGACCCTCTCCTCTCTCTAGCCCAGGGTTTCTCAGCCGGGACTATTTTGGCTCCCAGGAGACATGGAGCACTGTCTGGAGACATATCGGTTGTTCCAACTTGGGGGCATCAACGCTACTGGCATCTGGTGGACACAGGCCAGGGATGCCACTAAACATCTCCACTACAAAGAATCATCCAGACTCAAAACATCAATAGTGCTGAAGCTGAGAAACTGGTGGACTCTAGCAGGTTCGTGAGAAAAAAACCCACTCCTTCCTTCTTCCCTCTGTTTGCTGTTGATGTTTGTGTGTTGAAAGGTAGTACACTGGACTGGCATGGAAAGTCCTCTTGGGGGGCTGCTGGTGGGGGTGGGTCAGAACAGAGCCAAGAGCGGGGCCTGTGAGGGTCAGGGCTCTCTGCTGAGTAAACACTCTGACCCGACAGGGCAGCTAAATCCCCGCAGAGCCTTGCACAGTGGGTTAAGCTGACCTTGCACCCAAATGGCAACAAATTCTCAGCTCTGGAGCCGACAGAAATGAGTTTCTGTGGCCAGTCGTGTCAAGGCTGATAAAGAAGGTCCAGTGGGGGGATTCTCCAGTCATTCAGGAGTCGGGCCGGTAGCCTGCAGGGTAGTAACTGGAGACCTGCTGCCCTCCCCTGCTGCTTCCTTCTCTGGGGGTTGGTGGAGGGGCCTTCCCAGCCAGGGTCCACCCGCCTTCTTGGGTTTGTACAAGAGCATCCTGGAGGAGTTGAGGAGGGCGGAGGCAGGTCTGGATGAAAGCTGTTCCCAGGGCCTGACCTCCAACTGGGTCAGCAAATGCCAGGCAAAGGCCCCACCCCTCTCCTCCCGAGAGGTGATAAGAGCTATCAAGACATAAGGCAGAGGAATTTGCAGCTGGGATAAGAACCTAGTCATCCTCCCTGTCCTCTCATCCACAGCTACAAGAGTGGTGGTAAAGAGAAGGACCACTTGCTGACATCTATAGCTTACTCTTTAAGTGCCAAAGGAGCTCTGATGGCGCAGTGCCTAAGGCATTTGACTGCTAACCAGAAGGTTGGCGGTTCAAACCCCCCAGCTGCTCCGTGGAAGGAAGATGGGGCAATCTACTTCCATAAAGATTTACTGCCCTGGAAACCCAGTGAGGGTCGTTATGAGTCAGAATGGACTCAGTGGCAGTGAGTTTTGGTTTTTTAAGTGTCAGGAGACATTGAAAGCACATTCCACGAATTTAATCCTCACAACCCAACAGCTACAGAAATGGAGGCAAAAGGATCCAACATTCACTCAACAATTATTTACTGACTGCACTTCTTCCCTAAATGGGCCCTGATAGTGCCGTGGATAAGCACTTGCTGCTAACTGAAAGGTCAGCAGTTCAAACCCACCAGCCACTCCACAGGAGAAAGATATGGGGATCTATCTCCGTAAAGACTAAAGCCTTGGAAATCCTGTGGGGCAGCTCAACTCTGTCCTACCAAGTTGCATGAGTTGGAATCAACCTGATGACAGGTTACTCTGCCTTAGGAGTCCCTGGGTGGTGCGTGTGATTAATACACATGGCTGCCAATCAGAAGGCTGAAGGTTCAAGTCCATCCAGGGGCACTGCTGAAGAAAGGCCTTGTGATCTACTTCTGAAAACTCAGCCACTGAAATCCTGTGGAGCACAGCTCTGCTCCGACACCCATGGGTGCCAGGAGTTGGAATCAATTTAACAGCAACTGGGGCTGGGTTTTTTGTTGTTGCTTTTTTATTGTTTACTCTGCCTTATGCCTGTGCAGCCCAATATCAGTCATTTTAAACTCCAATCAATTATTACTAAATTAAATTACAAATCAGAGTCTTCTGTGTGGCTAATCATCTCCATGAACAACACCTTTCTTTGCCATAAGACCAGAAGAACTAGACATTCCCCAGCTACCATTACTGAATGCTAGAAGAATCCTGATCAAAAGGGGGGAAGTGTAGAACAGAATTTAAAATTCTGATTCATGAAATCCACATTTTCTGGAGCCACTGAGGCTGGAAGAGACCCTGAAACTATTGCCTTGACATAATCTTTAAACCTTAAACTAAAACTATCCCCTGAAGTCTTCTTGATACTAAGCTTAGCTTCATGAGTAAAGCATGCCTGTCTTGAGCACTGTGCTCTTTTGACATTGAGATCTGTGGAATCCAACTGACAACAACAACTCAGAAGACTGAAGAGGCAAGTTAGGGGGTGATGAGTTTACGTTACTGGAGGAGGAACAACTCAGCAAAGGGGGGAATGGCTGCACAACCCCAAGAAGGTCATCATACCCCTGAACTGAACGTGCAGAAACTGGTAAACTGGTCTAAGTTCTGCTGTGTAGATTCTCACCAACAAAATAAACTAAAAAATCATCTTCCACTCACTCCCATGGCTCAACTCTCAGCCCAATGATGGGCAGGCCTCCAAGGGTGAACAAGAACACCAGGGAGGTATGCACTCCTTGGAACAATCAAAAGGGCAGCACTTGCCCAGGGATAAAGCTCAAAGGGAGGAGTGACAGAAGAGAAGGATGAATGGAGCAGGACACACAGCGAAGAAGTGTGGAGAGTGCTGTTGCATTGTGGGAATGCAATCACTGTCACAAATGAAAATGTACGCACTGCTGATGGAAAACCAATGTGCTCTGCACACTTTTACCCAAATCACAGTAAGAAGTTATTTAACAAAAAGAAATCACCTTCCTCAGGGAAAGTGTTCAAAAGCCACATGTGACTAACGGCTACTGCACCGGACAGCCCAGATACAGTGTTTCTGTGGGAAAGGAACATCCTACTATTGAGTGCTGTTATAGGTGCTGCTCGTGGCGTGGGGAACGCAGCCAACAACAAACCCACATCCCTGGGAAGTCTACATTCCCATAGGGAAGAGAGTGCCCAGGTAAACAAATAAACATACAGAGTGTCCGGCAGTGACAGATTTCAAGAAGAAAACTAAAGCAGAATTAAGGAAGGCTAGAGAGTACCAGGGTGGTGACACTTCATAAAGGCGCTCAGGAGAGACCTCTCTGATTTGGGGGTGCAGGTGTCCCTCACGATCTGTGGGAGGCTAGTACAGGAGGGATGCCCTGCGCATACCCAAATCCGCAGAGGCTCAAGTCTCTTACAGAAAGTGGCCTGGTATTTGCATATCCTCCTGTATGCTTTAAACCATCTCTAGATTACTTACAATGCCTGATACAAAGTAAATGATATGTAAATGCTACATTCCATTCTCTTTTAGCTTTCAAGGGATTGCTTGACCATTGAATTGCTCCTTTTTTTCCCCTGAATATTTTTGATCCACAGTTGTTTGAATCTGTGAATACGTGGATACGGAGCGCCGACTCTCTGAAGGAAGAAAGAGAGCAAACATGCAGCTACATAGAGGGAGAATACTCCAAGGAGAGGGAACAGCAAGTTCAAGGCCCAGAGGTGGATACTATTATTTATTCCCATTCTAAAGATGAAAAGCTGAAGCATAGAGAGGTTAAGTCACTCTGCCTAAGGTCACACAGCTGGTAACTAGCAAGCTCAACTTCAAACTCAGCCTGTGTGATTCTAGAACTGACAACGTGAACCACTCGCGTAATCCTAATGACAATCCTAGAGGGGAGATGTGATTATTGGCCCATCTGATGGATAAATAGAATGAGGCTCAAAAGTTCAAGTTACCAGCCCAAGGCCACACAGCTGGGAAGAGATGGAGATGAAACTGCAGCTTGGAGAGAGCCACTTACTTGATCACAGGGGTGTATAGGCTGTGAAGACGGCAGTAGAGCCTCACACCCTGAAAGAGAAATGAAGGGGGGAGTCTGGGATCAGGCCAGTCCTCCAGGGTCCTCCCCCAGCCAAGGGGTACAAATCTAGGCTGCCGGCACAGATGGAAGGAGGTCTGGTGGTGCAGTGGTTAAACTATCTGGCTGCTGCACAAGAAACAGATGTAGCAATCTGCTTTCATAAAGATTTACAGCCTTGGAATCCCTATGAGGCAGTTGTACTCTGTCCTACAGGGTCAGTATGAGTCAGAATCGACTCAACGGCAGCGGGTGGTTGGGGGATAGATGCTCCTAACGTGGAGCAGGATGGTGAGGACCCCAGTCGGGAAGGAGCTCAGGCCCGGCCCTGGGTGGTCCCAACAAGGCTGGCTGGTCAGGGTCGTGGAGTCGGGGCCCCTACCTTGGACATGATGTCTTCCAGCTCACTCCGGGCCTTGTAGGTGCCGTCATCATAGCGGAAGCGGTACATCACCTGCTCGTTCTTAAACTGGTGCTTGTCAGAGACTGGAGGGACCCAGGGGGCCAGTGAGGCTAGGCATGCCCCCAGGCCCTTCCCACCCACAGCCCGCCACCCCATCATCATCATTTACCCAGCAAGACTCTGTGCCGAGCACAATGTCACGGAACTCCCCACCTACACTCCAGAGAGAGGGGGTGCTACTGTTTCTCTGTTATGTAGTTAAAGACACAAGGTCCCCCCACCCCACTCTATACCGGGCCCTGCTGAGACCTGCAGCTTGGGGCTAGGACGTCTGTATGTACCAGATGCCCAGAATGTCCCGGACCCCACTCACCATGGTGGATAATCCCATTCTCCAGCAAGGCTTGGCCCAAGTTGACCCCTTCTTCTGTCTTGCTGATCTCACCAATTTCCAGGAGCCAGGCAACAAACTCACTGCCAGGAATGCAAGAGACGGTTGAGAGGACACCCCCAATCATGAAGCCAGGGCAACCAACACAAAGCTGGCCTGGCCCCCATCTACCCACCTCTGGAAAAGACAGCTGGAATTTCCTGCAGGAAAGCAGGGCTTGGGCCACCACAGCCATCAGCCATGCCCTGGGGACCACGGACCCCAACACTGAGGCCTCAGGCTTTTCCTTATGACCGGGGCAGGAAGGTGGTGTGCACCTGGACCCCTCAGGCTCAGCAGATCGATGGAAGGGAAGGAGGAGTGGGGTGGGGGAGGCTGGGGGGAGCTGGTTGGCAGGTGGGCAGGTAGATGGATGGATACTGGGTAAATGAGTGAGTTGATGGATGGGTAGGTGGATAGATGGATGGATGACCTATAGACAGATAAATGACTGGGTAGATGGGAAACGGGTGGATGGGTGGGTGGAGAGGAGGATGATAAGTAGATGGATAACTGGGTGGATGGATGGGAGAGTGGACGAAGGATGGCTGTATGCATGAGTGGGTAGAGGGAAGAATAAACGAACAGCAACAGAAATGAACGTATTAGCATGAAGGTTGGTTGTGGGGAGTCAGGAGAGCTAATGGTGATCAGATCATGTCATTCTCCAACTTAAAACCCTCCAACCAGCTTCCCCATGGCTCCCAGGAAAGAAGTCCAAAAACTCCTTAGCACAGCCCACGTGATAATGAGGCCCTGCATGACCTGGTCCCCTAACCTTCACTGATTTCATCTCCTTTGCCCTCCCCTTACTGTGCTTTAGCCACACCCACCATCTTTCCCTTCTTCAAAAATGCCTGCTGCAGGGCCTTTGCACTTGCTGCTCCTTCTGCCTGGAAATGCCCTTCCCCACCTCTTCGTGGGGCACTCCTTTTCATCCTTCAGGTCTCAGCTCCAATGCCACCTCCTTAGAGAAGCCCTCCCTGACCACCTCTCAAGCGCAGCCCCTACTCCTGCAGTCCATCCCATCTGTGTGTCTCACTGCCTTTTCAGCACTCAGCACTGCCTGGAGTTAGTTAACTCATTTATGGATTTATTTATGTGCTTATTAGGCCCTACCCCAGCCAGAAGGTAACTGCTCCGTGAACAGGCATTATTTGTATTACTCTCAGCAGCAGGCCCAGTTCCTAAAACCATAAAACCCAGTTGCCCTCCTGTCAACTCCGACTCATGGGGACCCCATGTGGGACAAAGCAGAACCGTTTGCAGCGGCTGATTTTCAGAACCAGATCCTCAGGCCTTTCTTCCGAGTGTCACTGGGTGGTCTCCACCAACAACCTCTCAGTTAGCAGTGAATGCATTAACCATTTGCACCTCCCAGGGAATGGAGCTCTGGTAGCATAGTGGCTAAGGCACTTGACTGCTAACCAGAAGGCTGGAGGTTCAAACCCACCAGCCACTCCTCGGAAGGAAGATGGGGCAATCTACTTCCGTAGTGATACTGCCTTGGAAACCCAAGGAGGGGTCGCTATGAGTCGGGTCCACTCAACAGCACATAACAACAACAACAGGGATTGAATAGGGTCTAATTCCCAGTGGAGCTCAATCATCAAATAACAAATGAAGGCATGAATCACCAAATGAGAAGAAGTGTTCTGGAGCTCTGGTGGCATAGTGCCTAAGGCATTTGACTGCTAACCAGAAAGTTGGTGGTTCAAACCCATCAGCCACTCCGTGAAAGGAAGACTGGGCAATCTACTTCTGTAAAGATAATTCGCTGCAGAAACCCAAAAGGAGTTCACTATGAGTCGGAATCGACTAGACGGCAGTGAGTTTGGTTTTCGTTTTTTTTTTTTTTTTCCCCCAGAGTCAGCAGGGAGGTCTCGGGGAGGCAGAAGTGCTCACAGGACAGATGAAACCAAGTGGCTTTTCCGACTCCAGTGTGACTGCCCCCAGGAGGCAGAGGCTCAAGCAGGCCCTCAGATCTGTTAGGGGCTGCTTCTTGGTTTAGCATGGAACTCAACCCACTCAAAGCCAGCAGGAAAAGGGAGAGCCCAGAACAGGGCTGTTTCCGCCAAGGCAATCTGTGTTCAGTAAGCAGGCGGCAACTGGCCAGAGCCCAGAGCTCTCCAGCTTATCGAAAGCAGCTGTCCCGCCTCCGATTACATGGCCAGAGGGGGGCAGGGCTATTTTTAGCTCCCAGTCTTTGGCTGAGCAGAGACCTGCCTTGAGTGTAGGTAGTGGTATGTGCTGAGGCATTCAGAGAGAGCCCGGGTGGGGAACGAGGGGGTGCGGAAGAACAGAACAGGAACCCTGGGTGGGCAAGAGACTGTTCGGGGTCCTGTCCACCCTCAGTTCAATTCAGAGTCCCAAACACCAGAGGGGCGAACTTAGCCAGCTGCTGAGGGAGGTGAGCAGAGGCTGGGCGCCCACTCTCGGAAACTGGAGACCTGGCATCCAGCTGCCCACCAGCTGTCTGACCGGGGGCCACTTCTGCCACTGACCAGCAGCCCTGTGGCCAGGCAGGGGGGGACAGGAAGTGGCCTCATGCAGCTGCTGGGGCAGAAGAAGACAGCCCAGAGGACAGCAACTGGGATAAAGGTTCCTGCCCTGAGTGGGGTCTTGCCACCTTTTTGAAGATCAAGTGGGGTTCACAGCTTTCTGGGCAAATTGGGGCAGCTTGTTGTCCCCCTCTGGGCCTCAACAGGATCCACCTGGCAAGCAGTTCTCTCGGGCCTTCTGGATTTAGCAGCCAAACTTTTTAATCATGTGAAATCTTACTGCCAAGACCCAGTGTGCAAAGCCAGATGAAGCGCACCTCTTAACATATGGACCTCGGACTCTCGTAAATGAGCGCATCAGGCCGGCGGAGGCTGTGCGGAACCGACCACCTGGGAAGGCTGAAGAGAAGGAGATCCAAGGGAATGGCATGCTTTTCAAGAGGGATTGGAAATCCGGACTCTCCCGTGCGATCACCCAGCTGTTACGTGCTGATGTCTAATGCCACATTTTCCCAACACACCATGTGGGCCAAGAAAAACACATCTGGCTCAGCAGGAAGGGTGCCCAAGCAGGGGGAACAGCACGCACAAAGGCCCTGGGTGAGGAGTAAGGTTGGGAAGTCAGGATCTGCCGGTCGCTGGGAGGCTGGGGAGCAGAGAGCAGCAAGGCCCAGTGTTCCAGAAAGGCCTAACTCGCGGCACAGTGTGGGGTGAGCTAGGGCCTATGCTATCCCATGATGGCAGGCGTTCCCTCCGTTCACTGCCAACACATAGTAGGGACTCCACAATGTTGAATGACTGAAATGGATGAATGAATCTACTTGTCTCCCTAACTAATCCAAGGATCCAAAGAGCAAAGGCATTACTCTTCCCATGATGCCCCCTCAAAAAAATAAAGCACAGATTTTATTCCTTTTTGTACATGGCACCAATTGATTTTGTCTCTGAATAGGGCAGAAACAGGTCGCTCCTTAAACCCAATATATTTCCATCACTCCTACCAACCACGTTACAGCACTATCTCTGTATCCTCCAACAATCACATTTTATTCTCTCTCTTTATTAGGTCATTTTCTGACCTGCACAGAGGTTAAGAAACCTTTCCAGAGTCAGATACCTAAAGAGTAAGGGAATTAGGATTTGTGTCGAAGTCTGATTCAAAGCCTTGAAGGTTATAAAGATCAATCAGATACTTGCTGCATTCACCTGACTCTGCTACATCTGGTAGCAGAGATGGATATGGAAAAAGTAACTATCAAGGAAAAATGCAATGTGCTGAATAGATGGACATTGAAATAAACACACTCAGCAGGGTGCAGTGAGCAAGAGCAGGGACTTTGAAATCACTCTGTCCTGAGTTCAAATCCAGCTCCCCACTTTCTGGCCGTGTGACCTTGTGCAGATCCCTTCCTCTCTCTGTGCCTCAATGTCTACACCCTTAAGATGGAAACACTGAGCAGTAACCTGGCTCACACTGTTGCATGAGGATTAAAAGACATGGCCCAATGCCAGCGCCTGGAGTAAAGAAAACAAAAAAAAAAAAAAAACCACTCACTGCCATCAAGTCGGATCCAACTCACAGTGACCCCTCCTTGGGTTACTGAGGCAGTATCACTACGGAAGTAGATTGCCCAACCTTCTTTCCGAGGAGTGGCTAGTGGGTCTGAACTGCCAGCCTTCTGGTTAGCAGTCAAATGTCTTAGGCACTATGCCAGCGGAGAAAGGATTCAGTAAATATTTTTCGGCTGCCACCCTTCTGCCGATGGGACCAGGGGCACAGCCAGGAGAAGACTGCAGTGGGTCCTGGCAGGAAGAAGGAGGGATGTGTGCCCAGAGCTGGGTGCAGAGCAAACCCCTGCATGGAGAGAGTTTTACTGGAACGGCCTCTGGCAGGGAGTCTGTTCCTTAAGACCCAGGTGGTTACACGAGCTGCAACCCTGGCCCTGCTTCAAGTGGGCAGTAAAGTAATCTCCCCTAATCCTTCCTGAGAGACAACACACTCCTCTGAAGCTCTAATCACAGGCCCGGTTGTCCCATCCGGTGGGCGGTGGGCGCAGCTTGCCCAGAGGCTTGGCAGGAGGCAGGAGGCTGTCCCACCCTGGGGGCTCGGAAGCAAGTCGCTCCAGAAAGAAAAACCCCCTTTCCGCCTGGGATTAGGGATTAGCCAACAAAGGCCAGTGGGACTGCCCCTTCCCGGCCTCCCCAGTTTGCAGGACTTCAGGGCCCACTCTCTAGACCCTCCCCGGGAGCTTGAGAGCTGAGGTCGCTGACCTTTGAGGGCAACGTTGTTGTTGTTGTTATGTGCTATTGAGTCGGCCCCAACTCATAGCGACCCCTCCTTGGGTTTCCGAGGCAAATACTGAAGTAGGATTGCCCAACCTTCCTTCCAAGGAGTGGCTGGTGAGTTTGAACCACCAGCCTTCTGGTTAGCAGTCAAGTACCTTAGGCCCTATGCTACTAAAGCTCCTTTGAGGGCAACAGGGTGACCTAAATCCAAAGGTGGCCAGCCACCCTCCTAGGGTCCAAGCACCCTGAAACTTTCTGCCTGTTGTCCCCTCGATCAGGAGCCTCAGACTGCTGCGGCCCTCCCCTAACTCCACACTTGGTCTCCAACGGCTTGTCAATACTGATACTGGATGTTTACAAGGCTTTTCAACCTATACATATCCAAATTTACGTTCCATCTCCCCCAAAACCTGCCCCCTACTGCCCCCTATCTTTCTCCATTCACTTCCAGCCACCACCCTGGCCCCATGGGCCTCCCACCTCTCTAGCCATTCCTGCTCAGGACCCTTTGGTGGTCCTCCTCCAAAGTACATTAGCCCCAGGGCCTAGTCCCTGCCTCTCCTCTCTCTCCCTGCTCCTTGCAGATTATAGTCGGTTTCATAGCTTTAAAGTTACCTGAATGACAATGTCTTCTACACTTACATCTCCACCCAAGACTTTTCACCCCAAACCAAGATTTTTACGCAAACAACCACTCAACACCAGTGTCATCTCTAACTCGGCACATTCCAAACTGAGCACCCTGAGCTCCACCCCCAGCCCCTGAAACCCGTGCCTCCCATCACCTTCTCCTTTTCTCAGGAGCCGGCAACTCCGTCCTGCTGGAAACTCACTACCCACAGTGCCTTCTCCTTTCATCCCGTCAGCTGATGCACCACTGCCACCTTCAATACCATGCGGCATTGGACCACTTCTCTCCATCTCCACTGTCATCACCCTGGGCTGAACCACTCTCATCTCTCACCTGGGCTACGCAGGTGATGTCAGCTTGCTTTCACTCACCTCCCAAGGCTTTTGGGAAGTCATGTTGCGACTGTTAGTTGCCGTCCAGTCAATTCCGGCTCATGATGAGCCCATGGACGCAGAGCAGAACTGCTCCATAGGGTTTTCAAGGCTGTGAGCTCAAGCAGATGGCCAGACCTGTCTCCTGAGGTGCCCCTGGGGGGTTCGAACTGCCAATCTTTTGGCTAAATTGCTGAACCATTTGCACCACCCAATGACTGCTTTCCGGAAGTAGGTGAGGCATAAATAACAAATTCTAAATAAAGACCCTGCCAGGCAGGCAGACACTTATCTCTGGGAGGTCAGGGGCCCTTGGCGTTCACCCATCCTCTCCAGGAGGCCGTCACACAAACAAAACAGTCTGAGGGTTTTAACGTGGGTGGGTTTTATTTATTTCTTCTGCCTCCCTGCACCTAGTCATATTCTAGGCCCACAGAAGAATTTAGAAAAGGGAGGGAGGGAAAGGGAAGGAATAAGGCAGTGAGAAAAAGGCACTAGGGAGAGAACAGAGAAAAGAAGCAGGTGTAGAAGAGAAGATGGGAACTGTCAGGAGGAGAGAACACCTAGACGGCCCTGGGCCAGACAGACCTCCAGGTCTCTCTTGGGCAGTTGTCTATAGGATGTTTGTCCGATGCAACGCTCGTGTGTTGGGAGTGAGCTGACACCATCAACTTCTTGAATAGGAACCCCGTAGGTTATAGATGAGTAGTGTGACACCCAGAGAGATGACGCGACACCCTGAGCCTCCCTTTTGGTCCATGGCTGGGCCAGGACTAGAACTCAGGGCTCCTGACCACTCCTAGCCCCTCCCCCAGTGAAGCACACTCAACACCAGAATATGGTTTCAGACCCAGAGTGCCATGCCTCTGCTCTGCCTTACTGGCCCTCAGTTATAAAATGGGGTGGGGAACAACGTTTGAGGCTGTGTTTCCTACAACAACTGAAGGCTCTAAATACTGGAGAGGATATGGGGAGGCCGTCCCCCTCCCCCATAACTCTAAATGAAAGCACCACTCACCACACAGTAAGTCTAAGGAAGTGCTACAGAGCTCAGATTCTTTCCTTGATAAGGACTGGGTGTTTTTTTAAATATATCAAATTCTTTCAGACACACTTCTGGGCTGTCTCTACTTAGTTCTATTCTTAGCACCATAGCAGGCTGCCAACAGGGTCTTCCTGCACTGGAAAACTCTCCCAGGAACAGTAGTGGCAGGGTAGGGACATACTAGGGTGTCAGCTGACCACAGGAGCCAAGGAGCCAGCTCAGCCTGAACTTAGAGGGTCTCAAACGAGGGTGCTTTGAAATGTCTCCGGGGGGGGGCTACACAGTCACAGTGAGGACCCACCTCTGCTCTTCCTGCCCCTCCAACACCTTTGTAACTAACTCCCCGATTAAATACCTCTCTGCCTGGCTTATCTGTAGTGGCTTCTCCCTGATGACTATGCAGACTGCTACGGCATCGTTCAACTTGTGCAGGCAGCCCAGCAATGGCTGTGAGATCAATGTGGGTCTTGCCCAGCATTGTTTTTTAAATGAATGAAGAAATGAAATGGTAAGGATATGATAGGACAGGATAGGACAAAGCAGAATAGAAATTTTCAGAGTGCATTGAACATATGTTTGTCAAACTTCTCCTTTGATCACTTAGGGTATGTATGCATATGCCAGCTCAGAATGTAAAACCTGTGTTTTGCTGTGGGATGTAATCAAAAACATTGGAAAGATGTTGATACCGGGACCCCTACCACTAGCCTTCTTGACCTCTGAGACTGCTCCACAAGGACTGGGATCCTTTGGCGGTTCTACCCACACCAGGCAGAGGGGAGGAATCCCACTTCTGGTAGAGACCCTGGGGAACCAGCCTGAGCCCAGGGTGGGGGGCACTCACTTGCCGAGGAAGCACTTGGGGACGGTGCTCAGCTTTCTCCGACGGTCCTTGATCAGGTTCACCTTCTTGTTCATCATCATGTGGTAAAGTTTCTCCCCCTTCTCGGCAATCATGACGTAGGCATCCCGCTCCATGCCCAGCTTCAGGCCTACGGAGGGGGCGCTGTCAGCACTGGGCCACCAGCAGAGCCAGGGAGGCCAGGGAGCAAGCCTGCAGCTTCTGAAAGCCTGCTCCCAGCTGCCCCTCTGTTCACACAGCCAGCAACCATCTACAGTGCACTCACTGCCACTGTTCTAGGAACCTGCCATTGAGGCTTTGTAAGAACCTTGTCGGGGAGGGGGTGTCCAGTCTCCCCATTTTACAGAGCAAAGCTCAGGCCCAGAGAGGTTAAGTCCTGAAGTAATCAGGGGCTGAGCCCTCAACCCAGAGTTGGGCTCCAGAGCTAGATTCTTAACCACACCACTAGGCTGCCTCCCCAACCTGAAGGTGGGTTTCCAAACTCAGAGGATCAAAAGCATGTTGAGATTTTCATTGCAGGCAGGAACGGAAAGCTGGCCATTTCTCCAGGCAACCCATACAAGGCCCTGAGTCCAGTCCCTGCCCCACATCTTCCACTCAGACCCTATCCCAATTCTGACATAACAGCATTGGCAAACGATAAAGGAGATATGTTCATATATGGCTCTTGGAACTCAAAAGCAGCTTACAAGGCAGGTATGTGACAGTATTATCCCTATTTCACAGATGAAGATGCTGAGGCCCAGAGAAATTACAGTCCCTGTCTAAGATTTCCTAGCAAGGAGTGGTAGAACCAGAATTTGGATCCAGGAAGTTTGGCTCCAGATCTGAGCTCATGACCACTACATGCTTCACCCTGAAAACCTAGCCCTGATGGCAGGGTCTGGACAACACCCTGATTCTAACGATGGAGGCCCACTCAGGCCACACCCCACCTGTGGTCACATTCACAGCACTGACCACAGGACTCAATTCTGACCACAAAGATACTGATCAGCTGTACCCAGGCCAGCTGGGTTGCCACACCCTGAGCCCCAACCCCAGTTCTGACTACACACCCAGCCCTGCTCGGTTTCAGAGGTGACAAGGTGCCCAGCCATGGGTGAAGTTCAGAGTTGAGTTGGCCTGATGGCATTTAATACATTTTGAAGAAACATTTAAAATCAGAAAGTGAGAACCCTGAAGATCCAGATGCCCAGCTTCTCTCAAAAAAATAGAAGAAATAAATCAATGGATTTAGCCATGCTGGTCAACAAACTGCTGAGAGGTTAATGGGGACGTGTACTTGGGTGGAAGTGGGGACGGGAGCCAGGTGGGTGGATTCAGCCTACCTGTGGAAGCCAGAACTACAAGGCCTTGCAGGGAGTGGGAGAATCAAGGAAGACACAAAGACTTGGGGTCTGAGCTCCTAGAGACTGGGGTCTATTTACTGAGATGGTAAAATCAAGGGGAAGAGCAGGTTTGGGACAGAAAGCCAGGGTGTGGGGGAGACAGGACAGACAGCTCCGCTTCAGAAAAAATAAGTCTGAGATGTTATGACACAGCCAAGTGATTTCAAGCAGGCAGTGAGATATGGAGGAAACTGAGCCTCAGTTTCCCCTTCTATAAAATGAAAGGTGGTGAGAGCTTTGAAAGTCATGGGTCCAATTTCCAAGTGTGGTCAAATCTACGACCTCATTGTTGCAGCATGGCCACCCTTTATCATAAGAACTTTTGTCCCCGTTTATCAGACAAGGTCCCTGAGGTTTAGGAAACCTCAAACACACCAAGGCTTCCCCTTTCCTAGCCTGGTGGTCTCTGCACAATAAATGCCTCAACACAGCTCTGTGCCCACCCCTAGCCCCACTCAGCTGCCACACCAGCTCCTGCCACCTCCTATATGAACTTCCTCAGGGGGTCATGCCCAGAGAGGTTCCCTGACCAAAGCTACTGGCAGCCCCAAAGGACTCTACTTCCAGACTCAGACTTGGTGAATCTGAATTTAAAAAATGAAATAAATAAAGGGAGTAGGGCCATGCAGTGGGTGAAGCAGTGGAGACTCTCCAAGACGAAAGAGGTGCGTGGGGAGGCATCTTAGATTGTAATCCTCAAGGGTAAAGGGCCAACCAACCCTATCAGCACGACCTTGGACAAGTCCCTTCTCCTCCCTGGCCTCGTTTCACTGTCTCCAGTGGGCTGGAGCAGACGACCTTGGACATACCATCAAGTTAAGAACCTGTCTCAGAGCTCCTCCTTCAATGACCTGATTCTCACAGCCTCTGATCTTGCTAGACAGGACTGTAAGCCCCTCCTCCAGGCACAGCCCTCCCTCTGCAGAAGCCATCAGCCCACGGAAGCCCCGCAAAGGCAGCACTCTTGGGAGGTCCCGGAGAGGGCCGAGTCACTCACTCTCACGTTGCTCTCGCTCACGGATGATGGCATCCAGCCACTTCTGCTTCTCCTCGGCTGTCTTGGCCATGCAGACAAACCACTTGTTCTTGGCTGTGTTGTGGATCTTCCAGCCATTGGTGACGGTGTATCCATTGCTGTGGTAATCCGCTGGAGGAGGCAGGAGGCAAAGGTGGCTGAGTGCGAACTGAGCCAGACGACTCTAAACATTCTGCACTATACACCTACGGGAGAGTGCAAGGACCAGCCCTTCTGCTCCCCAACTCCAGACGGCAGGGTGGGGCATCAACAGACACCAGGATTTGGAAGCTGAACTTCCAGCCCTTCCAGGGCTCACTCCACTCCTGTCTATTCTCCAGTGGAAGAGAGAGAAGGACATTCTCCCAACCCCTCAGTTACAGAGGACTTCAACATATTCATCTGTTAACCGTAAGATCGGAGGTGCCAGTCCACCCAGGGGTGTGCCAGAAGAAAGGCCTGCCAATCTACTCCCAAAAAGTCAGCCATTTAAAATCTTACGGCACACAGTCTTCTTTGACACACACAGAGTCACCAGGAGTTAGGGCTGCTATAAGTTGGAGCTGACTTGATGGCAACTGACTGTTGTTATTTTTACCCCACAGACCTTGCAGCCCCAACAAAAGTGGAGGAGTGGCTCATGGGAGACCCCTGCTCAGAGCCCAGGAATGCTTCCCAGCCTCCTCAGCTGTCTCAGGCGCTTGAGTTACTTCAAACCCCAGCACAAGCCCACTGCTGTCTTGGATGCTAAACAGCAAACCTCTTCCAAACAGGTTGCCGTTAGCTAGCACAGTGGAAGACAGCCAGCCATTCCCTGAATCTGAGGAGGTCCACAGATTTATCAGACTACCAAAGGGCTTGGTGGCTCAAAACCAACCAGGAACCCTGCCTAGATAAACTCAAGGACACACACACCAAAAGATGCCTTGAACACAGCCAGCATCACTGTTCACAATAGTGAACAGCAGAAATAACCCAACAGTCTGTCGCCAACAGAATGGCCATTGGCATACTATACAGCCATGTCTCAGAGATACTGCACTGCAATACAGCAAATTTTTCAATAAAGTGAGTCACATGAATTTTTGGTTTCCCTATACATATAAAAGCTTTGTTTATACTATACTGTAGTCTATTAAGTGTGCAACAGCATGATGAAAAAGTGTGAAATGTTGTGAGAATTACCAAAATGTGACACAGAGACACCAGGTGAACACAGGCTGTTGGGAAAATGGCATTGATAGACTTGCTCCATGCAGGGTTGCCACAAACCTTCTATTTGTAAAAACCACGCAGTATCTGCGAGGTGCAGTAAAATGCGGTATGCGTATATAGCCATGGAAATCCATGAACTACAAACAGCTACAGAAAAACATGGGGGAATCTCACGCAGATGATACAGAGGGAGTGAGGCAAGGTGCAGAGCAATGCACACGGTATTGTTCCAACTTATGAGAGGCTCTAACCGGGAAAGTGTGATTAGAACGCTCAGTAACACACAGCCTCACTGCCATTGAGTCAGTTTCGACTCAGTGACCCCTCCTTGGGTTTCTGAGGCAGTATCTCTTTGGAAGTGGATTCCCCAATCTTGCTTCCTGGAAGTGGCTGGCAGATTTGAACCACCAGCCTTCTAGTTAGCAGTCAAATGCCATAGACACTACGCCACCAGAGTTCCTTGACACATGGTGGGGAGGTAAAAATCTTTTAAGAAAGCAATTATCATCAAATTCAGACAGAGGTTACTTCTGCTGGAAGAAAGGAGCCGTGACCATGAAGGAGTAGGTGAGGGGCCCCTGGGGTGCTGGCAGTGTTTTATTTCTTCACCGGATGCTATGCATTGAACTGTGACCCTAACCATGTATGTGTAGGAGTCCTGACCCCTACCGAAGCCCGCGGCTGCGATCCAATTCGGAAACAGGCTTTTCTCTGTTATGTTAAGGAGACCATGTCAGTGCAGGGTGTGTCCTACACCTAAAGACCTGACAGACAGAACAGCACAGACACAGGACGAGCACGCACTGAAGGGGGGGGTGCCATCAGAAGATCAACAAGGAAGGAGGAACGTCAGAGCCCCAGAAGCTGAGACAAGGATCTTTCCCCGGAGCCAAAAGAGAGGGCCTTTCCCTAGAGCTGGTGCCTTGAGTGTGAACTTCCAACCTAAATGTGAGAAAATAAAGGTTGGGCAATCCTACTTCCGTAGTGATACTGCCTCGGAAACCCAAGGAGGGGTCGCTATGAGTCGAGGCCGACTCGACGGCACATAACAACAACAACAACATCCTTTAAAATGCCCACTTGTGGTATTCGTGCTACAGTAGCACTGGGAAACTAAGAAGACATGAGGTGACTCCTTGGCAGGGGTGCT